TCAAGCGCAAATGCTTCAGCCCTGCGGGGTTAGTGTGCACAAAACTTCATGCGCACGTCCGTGAGATTGTGGCTAGTTGCAACTTCCCCCTCAATAGACTCTTCAAGCTTTGCAGCCGTGCTGTTCAGTGCATCCTCAAAAACAGCACTTTGCCAAGTTGGGAAGTTTGGGACATGAAAACTTCTTCGACTGATCTTGCTCAGCGAGCACGTTCCTTGGACAGACCGCGTGAATTTCGATCGGTTTGCAAACGCTGTGGATGCCGGAAAGCCCCTATGTCCTGTTTCCAAGGAGATGTCAATCAACTTTTCAAGGATGTTGAAGCACACCATGTTTTGCGTCACTTAAGGCAGCATGTCGATGCTTGTCAGAAGGCACATCCTGATTGTGAAGGTGTCACGGTGTTGAATGGCAAGAAATACAGAGCCTTTATTGGGGGTCAGGAACGTACTGCACGTGGTCGGTACTTCAGGTTTTGGGAAGTTTGGTGTGTCTTGAAGTATTACCTGCGCTGCAACGTGTTCAGAGTGGGTGTACATCTGGTCCGTCAGCGACTAGGCGTCCCCATGGGTGGAAGTGGTTCCAAAGCTTGCACCTCCATCCTGCTTGGTGGCTTGGAAGCTGCCTGGGTCCGGGACGGCGCCCAAAGAGCTGAACATGGCTTCGAAGATTCCCCGCAGGCGTTTCAGGCCACCACAAACGGTGCACGATACGTCGATGACCTGCTTGTTCTCAGCACTGTGTATTGCCCTCGTTGCTGTGAGGCCATGTGCATGCTGGTCTATGACAAGCCGTTAGTTATCGAAGCACAGCCGCCTGTTCACGTTTTTCAAGCGCAGTTGCCGCAAGAGGTTTGGCAAACATGCGTACACCATTGGCTTGACTTGACCGTCACTGTAGGTGAGACTGCCCGCGTGTCCTACCGCAGTAAGAATGAACAGTGCTTGCACTCAGGAGGGCCAATCAACCATCATGTTTTGCCGCGCTTTTGTCAGCAAGATGGTGCCACCAGGGAGCGCTTGAAATGGTGGATGTCCTCACGGGCTCACCGCATTGGTCAAATTGTGTCAGACCCTGACAGTTTTGTGCTTGTGTTGCGTGAGGCCATGCTTTTCGGATATTCTCGTCAGCATGTGTTGCGAGTGGCTAGTACGCTTCGCAAGTTCGAGTTTGTCAGAGAAGCGCTACGCATTGTGACGTCCACTGATTGCTTGAAGCTGCACTCGAGGGATTAACGCAGTCCTTTGTTTGCCCAAAGTGGTGCCCGCTGCCCTACTTTGCCCCTTGACTCCTGCTTGGTGTGACATGTTTGGGTGGTTCTTCGGCCGTAGAACCAACAACTTCAAAGGTCCGCCCCTATGGACGCGGGTGGAGAAATTGGAGGAGCAAGTAGCCAAGCTGCAGCAGCAAGAGGAAAAGCGGGTCCAAGCAGCAGCGGACGTTCGTGAAGAAGCCAAGCTCAATGCCAAGATTGCCGAAGCGAAGCTTGAGTTGCAGAGAGAGCTTGCTCAGGCTGATCCTTGGATGCTTGCGAAAACAACCAACGGTAAACGCAGTGCTCCGGAAGCAGAGGAGGTCAGTGTTAAGCGGCTGCGAGTGCTCAACTGTGCTGATTTCAGGAACTTCTGGGAAGAGGTGGGCATCAAAGGCAGAAACATCCCCAAGGGCACATGGAATGCGCAGAGTCTCAGTGCCGAGATCACCGGGCGTGGCGATTTTCAAGTTTCCAAGTGGCGCAGTGCTGCTGGGCGCATCCTCGATGGACCTATCCCCAAGGATTCGCAGGCTTTGGTTCTCCAAACTTTGGAGGCCGTAGCCAACTGAGCTGCTGATGCGCCTTTAGAGTTACTGAGTCGTGCTGGTCACAGAGCGTGGGGTGAAGGCAAATGGTGCGTCAGCTGTACGGCTTTCTGCCTGCTGCACTTCTGCAGATGCTTTGTGGCATGGTTGGCTTGGTCGGGATCCTTTTTGGTGGCTGCACTCCTGGGTTTCGGATGGGCAGTTCTTTGCCTTCAGAGACCGCATATCACTTGTGCCCAAGCATCGCCTAGTGACATGACTTGGTTTGAGGCCATGCGCTTCTACCTTGGAGTGGCTGAGAGTGATGCACGCAACTGGTGGGTTCACGCATCTAAGTTGGCCCAGGCTTGTTGGTTTCTGCTGTCCGAGGGTGGCTACATCTTCACTGCACCAATCATCTTTGCCTACGTCTCCCGATGGGCTGGCTTTGTCAAGTGCGGAATGCACCTCGCTGGTGGCAGAAGGCGATACCGGCGTTAGCTGATGTGGCAATTTGTTCATATTGTGACCTCGCTGCAGTTGCGAGTGAGTTTTGAACCAGAGATCTCATTCAGCTTCGTACAGTCCATGACTGGGATGTGCAGTCCTTTTCGCATGCTCGTGGGAGGGGCGTTGAACCAGGAGGTTCTGTCTCTGCAAGTCCCCACGAGTATGACTCATGCTACGTGTACACTTGTTTAATTCGGTTGCGAAGTGTTGTGATTGCTCTTGAAAGCCATTTGTACCCACTCGAGAGCTCTTGTGGCCCCACCTTATCCCGCCAGTGATGGTTCGTCGCAGTTGAGGGGCGAAACGACCAGTACACCACTGTGCATATTGTGGAGAGGCAGCTGCCTGATGATGGGTGCAAAAGGCTTCTGGTGAAAGCTTTTGCCTGTGCACAACTAGTGTTTTGTTGTTTAGTCGTTTGTTTTGGTTTTGTTTTGTAGGGGTGGTGGGTGTGCTAGCGATACTAAACTAATCTTTTCTCCAGCAACTCCGCGTGCTGTGACTTGGCAGTCTTTCTGCCGAATACGTTGTAAATCTGACTGAAACCAAAACCCTGAAAGATCTACAACTCTCTGAAGCATACACTCGCCAAACCCAAAACATTAAAGCACTCAATGCCAAACCCTGGACCATGAGGGATGTGAATCGTCAAGCATCAATCCTAACAGCGAACCCCAAATTGCTGAAACCGACACCCCTAAATCAAGTCCAGGACACATAGTCGAAGCACGCATAACCTTCCGAGCACTAGAGGCAGCCAACTGCCGGCTATATTAGGGTTTGAGGCTTAGGGGTCATGTTCTCTTTTTTGGGAGAGCAGGGAAGTGCTCAAGGGTATAGCATGTATGGGTAGTTCTCCGAATTAGGACCCCTCGTGAGGGTCACCCAAGGAGCCCCAGATGCCCAGCAACGGATGGTTCAGAAATTCAGGATTACGCCTGAAGCCCTAAGCCCTGAACCCTAAACCCTAAGCCCTGAACCCCGGTGTACGAAAGGGATCCCTAACAAGGGGCCCTCAATTCAGGCACGGCCTCGACTCGTGAGAGCCCGATGCAACAGTTCTGAAGCGGGTACTGCTGCACATTTCTCTGCCCCTCGACCCTAAACCAAACCCCATGCGAAATCCTAAACTGCAAGCGTTTAACGCTTAAACTCTCAAATGGCTCATCCCAAAACCCAATCCCTAAAGCCTGAAACCCTTGCAGGTCCCTAAGCGGATCCCTTAGGGGAGCCGAGAGGAGCCCCCAAACCCCAAACTTCGCCGGGCAATCGGGGAGCAGGACTTGGCAATGACCCCGGTGCAAGTATGGGGCTCCTGGAAGGGGTATTGGCTTTCGGGCTTGGCTTGACAAGGAGTAGTAGTTTGGGGTTTGACGGTTTTAAAAGGGAATGTGTAGGGTTGAGGGTGTGTGGTTTAGGGCTTAAGGTTGAGGGTTTAAAGTTTCGGGTTTGGGGCTGTAGTGGTGCTTGCGATTTGGGGGTCTGGGTAGTACTCTGTAAGTTTGTTCTGGTTTTTCGGGCTTGGACTTGGGGCGCTGTAGGGCTTTACAAGGTTGATATGGGGCTGCCTAAGGCTTGAAGTGGGTGTAGAGGGGCTGTATAACACCTGAGTGAAACAGGTTCAGGGTAGTACAGGTTTGGGAGATTTTTTTGAGGGCCCCTTAAGGAGTTTAAGAGTTCAGGATATTGAGAGCTGGGGGCTTGGGGTTTAGGTTCGTGGCTCTCAGAGCAAGTTGCACTCTACTCCCCAACACTCTCCTGCACACCCCCCGCCCTAAACCCCAAACCTCTAAGCCCCAAATCCTGTGCTTCTAAGTCTTAACCCCGGACATTGAAGCTGCCAACCCAAAATCCAAAACCCCAAAGCCAAAGAGATCCCCCAACATTCTCCAAGCTCTCAGAAGTGGCGTCAGGTCCAGGCCTTGAGTGAGAACACCGGGACGCGCTCGTATCGGCCCTCGCGGTGCTTTATGTGGATACCTGAGATCTTCAGCAGCTCGACGGCCATGAAGGATGCTCAGGTATGGTGATTGTTGTAGTCGTCGTCGTCGCAAATGTAGTCGTAGTCACAGCCCTTGAACCAATTGTAGTCGGAAGAACGGCAAAAGCAGATGCAGCAGCAGCAGCAGCATCAGCGGCGGCGGCAGCTGGAGTAGTAATAAAGGCAGCAGAGGAGGTAAGGAATCGCAAGATGCTATAGGCATCTACAGGCCATATTGGATCGGCATATTCCAAAGGTCTTTGCATGTGGAAGTTGATGTAAAAACCCCTCCCAAATGACCAGAACAGAAAACAGCTCTCGCATTTTACGCCCCCTTTCAACCCATTATAGTTATGGTAATGCTCTTCTCAGTCAACGCGGCCGTTTCAAGGACTTCACTTGGATCAACCCCCACGATACCCAAACCCTTAACCATACGCGTGTAGAGACCTTCCATGCTGTCCTTATGTGGGACTTGGGCTGACATAAAGTTCAGACCAATCGCCTCCACTTGCAATAATGCCCCCTAAAAACACAGCCCCAGTACACCATTTTGCGAGATCATGAGACAACATGAGAAACTGTTACATGGGTCGAGGGCGCTTCTTGTACTTACGGGGACTAGGCATAAACAGAGCTGAAAGATCAAAACAGGTGAGTACTTCAAGGTGCACAGCCTGAGTCATCCCGAAAACACATAACATTCATATTCATCGCGCCACTGCTTTCTTCACGCCCGGGCGTCCCCAACGAACTCAAAAAACTCGCCGAACCCATAGTTCACGAGCTGGAACACCGTGCTCCGCAACCACTCCATGACAAGTATGTGGTTTTGATGAGCTGCGTAGATTAGCACCGCCGCTCTCGGGCTGACAGTCCAAACTGCTTCCTGTTCCTCCAAACTGCTCCACAGCGTGCGCACGATCTCCACTGAGCCACGTCCCGAGGCACAAATCTGACCGGCCAAGACGACATGATTAGCCAGGGAAGGGCGGCCGGGCCCTGGAAGCAACGACTGCAAAACTTCAAGCTGGTCGTGCAGACACGCATTCAGCAGTGCTGCCTCTCGTGCTCCGACATGAACGGTGGTCTTTGTTTCCAGCAACAGGTGCAAAATCTCCACATGGCCGGTCTCCGAAACAAAGAAAGCCCTCTCACAAAAGATTTGCTCCAGGGCTTCCTCATCCAATAAGCCCAATATGAGGCGCACGACTTCAACACGGTTATGGCATGATGCACAGAAAAGGGCCAGCAAGGCCAACTGAATGCTTGAGTCTTTGTCAGTCTGCAACTCCAAAAGCAATCGCACGATCTCCACATGGCCCTTGTTAGCAGCTGCAAATATTGCAGTGCCTGTCATGCTGGTACCGGTGCCTTGCATGGCTTGAACGAACAACCGAGCCATGTCCACGTGCCCCCAACAAGCAGCGCTCGCCAGGGGCGTCAGACCCAGGGTTTTGGAAACAGACTTCACATCCGCGCTGGCCTCCAAGAGCAAACGCGCACATTGCACGTGCGCTTCTCGATGGGTTGTCCAGAAAAGTGGTGTCATGCCTGTATCCTTGTCTGGAAGTTCAACGTCAGCTCGCGCATGGATGAGCATGCTTACAACCTGTGAGCGGCCCCCACAAGCTGCACAACAAAGCGGTGCTTCCAGATTGACATCAGCCCCTGCCTGGATAAGTGCACTTACGATCTCTGCATTGGGGGCGCCGCGTGGGCCTTCGTCAGCTGCCGCAGCAAGCGCCCCCCCCCCAAGTTTACGTCAGCCCTTGCATGTAATAATGCTTGCACAACCGGCAGGCAACCACGTTCTGCAGCTCGGGCAAGGGCTGTCTGTTTGCTTCGTTCATGAAAGGCATGTACGTCAGCCGTGGCTTCCAGCAGTAACAATGAAATCTCAACACTCTTCGAGGCCCACAGAAGCGGACTCCCGCATTCAGCATGTGCAGGAGGGTTTGGGTCAGCGTGAGCTTCCAGCAGCAGGCAAACAACGTCCACATGGCCATCTCGAGCTGCCAGGACAAGAGGCCACGTAATCCCAAGATGATGGGAGCGGCAAGCCAAGTTGGGATCCTGTGCGCGTTGGAGAATCTCTTCAATTGGTAGCAAAAAACCGTTGCTCACGCAGGCTCCGAGTTCATTCCTCTGCTCCTCCGAGGCATCCATGAACGGAAGAAGAACTAGCTGCAAATCCATGGGCCCATCCATGCTGAAGTCTTTTACCTCGAGACCTTCACACAGGAGGCGCTGCTGAAAGCGTGGACGCCCACAGAGTTTCTGCAGCCGCGATTTCAATGCCACTACATCCTTCAGTTCATCCACTGCCGTGCTAAGCAGCGAGGCTACAGCATGTGAGAATGATTGATGATAACGCCAGCAGGGGATGTAAACATCTTGCGATATGTACCTGCATCATGCGCATCATATTACTCCTCAGCAGAATACAATAATAACAACGAGAAAATGACATTGATACTATGCTAATAACACTCGCAAGAATATTACTATAAAACCTACTGCGAACCCTGCATCATCTACATCCGAACCTACTGCAATCATTCATGTCACAGACATCTTCCTCCTGAGCCGTTGCGAGGAGACACATCCATGACCCAGAAGAAAGAGAAAATAGAAGAAGCGGCAGTAGTAGTGGTAGTAGTAGTAGTAGTCGTCGTCGTCGTAGTAGTCGTAGTAGTCGTCGTAGTAGTAGTAGTAGTCGTAGTAGGAGTACTAGTAGTAGTAGTAGTAGCAGCAGTAGTAGTAGTAGTAGTGGTTGTAGTAGTAGTAGTCGTCGTAGTAGTAGTAGTAGTAGTCGTAGTAGTAGCAGTAGTAGTAGTAGTAGTAGTAGTAGTAGTAGTACAGTACGAGTGGTAGTAGTAGCAGTACAGTAGTAGTAGTAGTAGTAGCAGCAGCAGCAGGACTAGTACCAGTACTAGTACTGGTACTGGTAGTAGTAGTAGTAGTAGTAGCACTACTAGCAGCAGCAGGAGTAGTAGTAGTAGTAGTAGTCGTAGTAGCAGTAGTAGCAGTAGTAGCAGTAGTAGCAGTAGTAGCAGTAGTAGTAGCAGCAGTTGCTGTTGTTGTGGTAGCAGCAGCATGAGGAGTAGTAGTCGCAGTAGTAGTAGTAGTAGTAGTAGTAGTAGTAGTAGTAGTCTGTAGGAGTAGTAGTAGTAGGAGCAGCAGCAGTAGTGGTGGTCATGATTTACACCTGACTAGTTTTGCTAGCATAGCGACTGTAATTGCTTATGAATGCTGCTGCTATTAAGAACCGTAGCAATACATTACCGCGGCACGAGCGCGCCGAAAAAACGAACGACAAAGCGGCAACAACTGCAAAATTACAAGCATCCTACTCGATAGCCCAGATGCGGTTGTCTTGCATGAACTCGAAGCCTGCCCCCGCGGAAAGCTTTCGGTTGGCTGTTCATGGTTCCCACGGGCTCCATGTACGCACGTTGTGTAGACTTAGGCCTTAAAGGGGTCCCTATATATGTACTTTGGGGTCAATGTATATACTATATGGGCACATGGAGCCTTTTGGGTCCTGATTCTTTGACATCGGGCTGATGTTTCGAGAAGCTGGGTCTGAGGATGCGGTATCTTCTAAATAGAGGCTCTTGTAATTGGAAGAAGGTTTGAGGGATGTGTGGATGTACTGCACTATCATCCCTAAACCCCAAACCCTAAACCCTAAACCCCAAACCCCTGAACACTAAACCCTTAAACCCCTAAACCCCAAACCCTAAACCCTAAACTCCTGATTTCATGGTGGCTCAATATTATATCTGACGACCGACCCTCTAGGATCCTGGAAAATTCTGCAAAAGTGGAGGGCAGCCCATCGAACCCCAACTGGAAAGAACAACACCAACAAAAACGATAGAAAGCCGCAACCCTAGGCCCTAAACCGAAAAAAAGTCACAACAAAAACTCTGAAAACACTACGTTCGTCGGCCCAGGAACCGACAGCAGTTTCCGGCGTCTCGCTGGCGCTCCGCAGGAAGCGCTGGAGCGCCTCCGAAGAAAGCAGGGTTTAGGCATTAGGGTTTAGAGTTCAGGTTTTCGGATGTTCAGAGGGCAGAGTTGTCTGTTCGTGTTTCGAGTCTCAGAGTCGGGGTTTCGTCATCTACCTGAGGTAAAAGCCAGAAAGTTGGAATATAAACCCGTTTATGGTAAATTATAGGGGATCCTAGCCTGAAGCCATATTCCAACTTTCTGGAGTTCCCTTTAAGGGTACAAAGGATGCAGTAGTCGGGTACTGAGTTTCGGATAGTAGTTTTGTGGGCTAGCATCTGGAGAGTACATGACGAATGACAAGGCACGTGGACCCTTCAGGTTAGGATGAGGAAGCAGCTCAAGACCTTCACCAACCTACACGCAGAAATAAGAAAATGCCAGCAAAAAAACTCCAAGCAGCCTCAGGCCTAAACCCTAAACTGCTGGCACCCTCCTTCAAGCAAGGGAGGGTCATTTCCCAGTTCATACCACCCACAACCCCCATACCCCACCCTACGCTTTTACACCATTTTAAAAGCCACCTGCTAATCCAAACCTTATACCAAAACCCCTGAACCCTAGCAACCGCCCATATACTTTACCTTACCCATAATATAGCCAATATCCTAACGATGAACCGGGAAATGATAGAGAGTAGCAACTCTCTAAGCCTTGCGACCCCCTAATCCAAAACCCTCCCCAAAGCCTATAACCTTGAACTGGGAAATGACGGAGAGTAGGAAAATATTAATAATAATATGTATTATTATTAATATTTAATTAGCAATGCCTACATTGGTATAACTTGCTCGGTGCTTCAATTATTTCAAAATCTATGTGTTCTAATCTTTCTTTGCTACAAACATAACACTTTCCTTTCTTACGAACTTGTAATACATCACCATATTTTTCAATTATCTTCTTTCTACGATATGCATACATATCAATTTCTCCTGTATTATATGGGTCTTACAATTTGTTCATTGCTTCCATAAGTGGAATATATTTTTTTGTTTCTATTCTAAGTATTTCCCGTTGGTCTTCTCCCGCTTGTATGTTTAACTTGTCATATTCAGTTTTAAAATCTTCTTCTGGTTCTTCTTGCTTTTCTCCACAAGCAGTCAAGAACTCATCAATGAGTTCTTCTTGCTCAGTCTCTGTGAATATCTCAGTCATTGCCACTAATATATTAAGGTATTTTGTCTTTAAGTGATTTTGTAAAAAAACAGGTTAATTTACATTATACGGAAATTTAAACATACTCTCTTTTGACATCATCAAACTTAACACCACAATAGTCTAAAGTCTCTTGCTCTGGTTCTTTTATTTGACAAATGCTTAACTTATTAACATAAACGTTTCTCTTATTCTTATAAACATCACTATCTTTATCCATTGGTTTATTGTGTTGTTTAGGTTTATTGCTCAAAGCATCAAGCTTTTTGTCAATCAGTTCTAATTTGTCTAATACCTATTGAAATCGTGTTGCTTTTGTGGTCTTATCCGCCTTATCATCATCTATGTCACGACTTTGTCCTGAGGGGGAACTTCGTTCCCCGTCACGGCTTCGCCCTGAGGATGTGTCCACATCGTCACTCATATAAGAGTTTTAGATTATTTTTAGATCGTTTAAAAACTTTGCGTCGTGAATACTCACGAGCCTCATTCTGTTTATCTAAGCATCTCCTACATACAATATTATATTCTTTGTGTTTTCTGTAATCTTTTGAAATTTTCTATCTCTTTATATACCTTACATATCGGACAAACTCTAATTTCCAAACAGCTATAGTTAAGTTCAGTATTATTAGAGAATGATACTTCAATTTTATCAGTGTGTATCGTCATACAATTCGCTTTATACTAAAATTATACAGCCAATTCCTATAGGATTTAACAAACTAATTTAGCACCTGCTTATGAGTTGCTATTGAATGTTCAGACACTACGTCGCGAATGCCTCGCGAGGACTTCTGTACGAAGCGCCCCTTTCGTGAGACCATCCAATGTGAAACAGGGAACACTACGGGGTGTAATTTTCTCCTTCTTCCAAAAGCCAACACTGGCATACTTGCCCTGATGGATTTAAAAAATACATTTTTTAAATCCAACAGGCTGGGAAGCAAGTGCTTCCTACCCTGTCATTATACATTATAAAAAACTTTAATCCATCTTAATTTTAGATGCATTTGTATCATCTATATGTTTCTTGATTTCAGTTATACCTTTTTTCAATAAAGTAATCTCAGTTTCCGCGCACTCTACTCTCTCTTCTAATTCTTCGGGAGTAATTCTATTTTCTTTGCTATTCCAGCCTGTATCGCATATTTCAACGCTTCCAAACTGTCTCTCTTGTTGATATATACCGCTTTCATCAGGGCTGACATTTCTACAGCCAAACTTAGTATTTCTTTTATCAATAATAGTATTAGTTGTGATCTTAATATCTTCTTGAACTGTTTTAGTCTCCTTATGATAAAATTGTCTTTTACAACGGCACGGAATACAAGATATACCTTTAGCATTAATGCGAAATCTTTTGTCGTTGCTTTCTTCTGAAACTTCGCTCATTTTGTATTAATAACGTTATAAATTTTCTATGTATCAATAATAATGACAGATATACCAATTGTAAAACCATACAAAACAAAAGAATACACATTTACACAAAGCAACTATGAAGTCGCCCCTCGTATTCCATTTTCAATGGTTATAACAGGTCAGTCGGGTAGTGGCAAAACAGTGCTTCTTTCGAATTTAATTCTTGATATTTATAAAGGATGTTTTCGTCGCATCTTCATTTGGTCAAGTAGCATAGACTTAGACCCAGTATGGACACCTGTTAAGAAATACATTGGAAAAGATTTAAATGTAAATCCTGAAAAAGAGAAGGTCTATTTCGACACTTTTGACATTGATGAAATGCAAAGTGTTTTAGACTTTACAACATATAACTAATCAGTTTCAGAAATTAGGGTGCCTTTTGGGGCACCCTAAATAAGAGGTGCCGTATTATTTTAGGGAGCCAAAAAGGCGCCATAATTTTGACAACCACCCATAGAGCTTTAGGGGCTAAGGGTTATTGCCGAGTTCGACCTCGGCGTCCCGCGGATTGTCCACGCAGTTCGTGCCGAGGACATACAGAACATCAAGGTCAAGATCCTGATAGGGTTTAGGGTTCAGCGTTTAGCATTTTCAGATTTGTTTTTTGCACTTTTGGCTTTGGCCTTTGGGTTTCGGATGGAGGATTAGAAGGGTTTGAGTTTGGGTTGAGGGTCGAGGGTATAGGAACAGTTGTGTCGGGTTTAATCTGGGGCGTGAGGAGGTCTACAGCCGGTTTGCTGCTTAGTGTCGGAAGCTGATTGAGAATCCTTGAGTCCTTTAGGGTAATGTAGGATTTAGGGTTTGGGGCTTAGGGGGGAAAAGAGTGTGATGCAGGAACCTGATTGGGAAACCTTGGATCTTCATTGAGTTGCTTCTATGAACCCTTATATCTCGGGGTTTAAGCGCTAGGGTTTCTTACTCAGGTTCCTACATTACCAGCTATATACGGAGACTCACCACGTACCACTCATGTAGACGTCGACTGCTCCTTGATAAACCTGCTCCATTAACTAGGAATTGAAAAGAAAACCTTGCATTCAGAAGACCCTAAACCCGAAGCTTGAAATAAACACTAGAATACCCCTCATGAAACCTCACAGGCACCCCTAAAACCCTCCCCCACCCCTTGCCCCCCACCCCCTTCCCCAGCCCTGAACACTTAACCCTGAACCCGGCCTCTTCCACGGAACGAAGTGCCTGCACCTATGAAAGCGCTGGTTCTGAGCCGGGCTCGTCCACAGGCTCGTTTCAACGGCTTCTGTAAAGGGTGCCTTGTCCTTTACAGGGTTCTACTAGGGATCTGGGTCGGGTTCTGATTGGGTCAAGTGTTGGAAACGGATGAAGGTAGGACTCCGGAACAAGAGCCCGTGCCCCTGAAGTGCCTGGTCTGTTAGTTAACATCAAAGGACTTCAGATATTCGGTTTAGGGTTTAATTTAAGGGTAAGCTTGAGGGCTGAACACTGTCAATAAGGTGTGGGGGATCTAGGGGTACAGATATATAGGTTTGTACAGGAGTGATAAAGAGGATACCAATACTGATCAGCGTACATCTAGGTTCAGAGTTCGGAGATTGAGCTCAAGCATCCCAGAGTCTTACGTTAGAATACAGAGCTTCAAAATAATGCAACAACACCTTGTACATAAACGGCCACCGTCCACCCCAGATCCGAAAAAAGAAGCCACTCAACTTCAGCCTCAGAAAACTCCTGAAGAAAGAAGCCTCAGAGCACGATGTAACATGCGCGGCCCTTACAAAACGCCATGCGGCGTGGGTGTTGTCGAAATTATGGTCCCTTTCTGGGTCCTTAATATAATACGGTACCTAATATTTAGGGTACCCAAAAAGGGACCATAATTTTGACAACTACCCATATGTAGCACTGCAAAACCCTCAGAAGGCCTCTGTCAAATCTTAACTATCAGAAAACTGGTTCACCAGCATCCCCTAAAAAAAAAAGCCATGGCCTTTTATCCCGGCTGTTTTTATTTTGGAGACTCCCCCCCGGACAAAGGAAGAGGGGTACGGGACCTCTAGTTGCCTTGCTTTTTCACATTATGCCGGGGCTAAGCATATAAGGTGTGCTGGCCAATTGGGGAACTGCAACAGAGACTATACCCTCAACCCTCAGCCCTAAACACAATCCCTAAACCCTAAACCCTAAACCCTAAACCCTAAACACAATATCCGACAACCCTAGACCCGAATACCCTCTCATGCACCCTTGTCCTTTTAGAAATAATAGACAGAGCCCTATACCTATATCCCTTAGTAGGAATCATTTAAGGTCTACTAGCCGGTCTGTTTATTCTTTTGGGGGAGCCATGAAAAAGGACAAGGCTGCTTTCATGCCCTAAACCCCAACGAAACCTAAGGAAGCTTTGAAAACGCGCAGCAGCCATGGCCTGGCACCCAACTCCGATGAAGAGGAGCTTTCGGATGTCTTGGCCCCGTACCTCGTGATAGGGTTTAGGCTCTGGGGTTTAGGGTTTCGGGTTTGAGTTCGGGGTTGGGGGTTTAGGTTACAAAATTTAGCTTAAGGGTTCATGGCTAAGGATTGGGGGTTCCAAAAGTTAGGGCTTAGGGTTTCGGGCTTGGGGTTTCAGGTGTCGGGTTTCGGGTTTGGGCCTTAAGGTGTAGATTCTAGAAATCAGTTTTAAGGTTTAGGATGAGGGCGATATATCAACCAAAGGGTGGGTACCAGCAAGGTGTTTGCAGGCTTCCGTTCTAACTCACGCGCAAACCCTAGAACCCTCAACCTTGAACCCTAAACCGTAAACCTAATTTTGAAGCTGTGTAACCCTAACCCTTAAATCCTAAACCCCTAAGTGAGGGAGAAAGCTCAAAGCCGTAGATCTTCACGCAGCCCCAATAACGATTACAATACAGGGGTTCCTTAGTATAATTGTAGTATAATATACCCCCAAACCCTATTCAAATTCTTAAGGCCCTACATTACTGTCACTAGAAGGGGGCGCTAGGGTTTCAGGGTTCATAGAGTTTAAGGGTCGAGGTTTGGAGTCTGAGGCTGTAGGGCTTACGGTACATTCTTTAGGGCTTCATTTAAGCTTCCTAAAATCACCAAGAAGCCTTTGCCCGAAGCCGAGCAAAAGCTCAACACCTTTGGTATCTGCCTCTCAACCTTGGTCTCTACACTCTAAATCTGTCAGAGTCCTGCAAAATGCAGCCGCAGCTGAAAAACGAAACCCCGTAAAGTCTAAACTGTAAAAACCGCTCAAAATTGACAGCCGCGGAATGAATCCAAGGGCTTCGGGCCTCGATCAGAGTGTATGCAAGCTCACTTTAGGGTTTAGGGTTTAGGGTTTGATCCTCACTAACCTTAAGTCCAAAAGCTTCGATTGGATCCCGAAGCTGCCCCAGCCTCCCACAGCTCTTCCAAAGGTAGGAGGTTCGGTGAGAGCATGGGCTTTACTCCACCACTGGCCAGCACCTGCATTCGGATTTGGAATTTCGGGTTTCGGCCCAGCTTCCCCTCCGGCTAAAATGCTGGAGCACATGCTCAGGCGGGGCTTGTTGCTATCATCCAGAGACTCCCAAACCTCTCTCATTAAGGAAATTACTTCTAATCAGACTAGCGATCCCTCCACAGGTGCAGGATTGTTGCTGAAAAAGGGAGTTCGGGAGGCCTGCTCCTGGTATGAGCTTAGGGCTTCAACTTCGAAGTGTTTGGGATTGATACTTTGGGGGATTTAGGCCTCTGTTTTCAGGACTGTTGCCTTGGGGATTTCAGCTTCGGTTGTCAAACTGATCTCTCTCAGGAGTTGCCCCCACTCTTCAGGTACTTTTGTCAGGCCTTCAAAGTTTTGGTTCAGCGACTTTTCTGGGTGGGTTTCGGGTGTAGGGTGGTTGAGGGTTTGGAGTTGGGAGTCTAGGGAATCGAAGTTTCAGGCATAAGGTGCCTGAATCCGAACCACCAAAATCCTGTCAGACAGATGAATCTGTTGTTGAACAAGGGCATTTTGGGCCGGCTTAACCCAGCCAGCCTCTTGCTGCACAGAAGCCCTTGCTGAACACCACTAGACAACACTACATCCTGCTCAACCCGCCGACAAAACTTCAACTAGGATACCCAGTAACCTAAGAATAAAAAGGCCTCTCTTTTTGGTATTGGGTAACTTTATAAGGAACCTAGGACTACAAAAAAGGGTATTACTGGGCATCCTAGTCAAAGCACCAAACCCTTAACCCTGAAGCCGAACCCCCTAAACTCTCAAAGAGCCCTTACAGAACTCTTAGTCCTAACCCCCAAAGACGCCTCCTCAACCGTTCGCGCCAAGATGGGCTTTGGCTCCAAAGGGGCCTCGGGGTGCACGTCACCCAATTTTTAAGGACTCGTACACGAAAATCATAATAAGGAGGACACCCTACAGTAGAAGCCAGAAAGTTGGAATATCATTATCGTAACCCCTTTAAGGTAAATTATAGGGGATCCTGCCATTATTCCATATTCCAACTTTCTGGAGTTCCTTTTAACTGAGTCAAGCGAAGTCTGGGTCTCGCTGCAATCCCCGAGCCAAAATGCTGTGAAAACCTACCGCGCAAATGTGTTTGGGCGCTAAAGCGTCTATAGTGAAGATGTGGCTACCACGCAAGTCGACACTGTTTCGAGCACGACACGCAATGCATAGGGTCCTATGTTGTCGGACAGGGAGCCGATCGGGACTGGGATAGGGGCCTATGGAAAAGCGATAGGGGCCTATGCTGCATAGGGGGCTATCATAGGCACAGACCGGGTCTATCCATAGGGGTCTATGCGAATCCCATAGGGGTCTATCAATAGGGGCCTGCCGGAAAATGCATAGGGTCTGTCTGCAGGGGTTCGTGGACGCGGGAGGGATCGGGCGCATAGGGGCCTATAGGAAAAGCATAGGGGTCTGTATAGGGGTCTATCGACGCCTATGGTAGGGGACTACTTACCAGACGAGTAAGAGCATCTTCTAAAATTCAGGCATCTGGGTTCCACAAAGCAGCCAAGGGTTCTATGGTTTGGAACATGTGCTGTAGGGAACGGGGTTTAGGCTTTTAGGGTTTAGGGTCTTAGGGTTTAGGGTTTTAGGGTTGGGGGTTTTGGGGTTTTGGGTTCTAGGGTTTAGGGTTTTTGGTTGGATTCTCTATAAGTAAAGCAAAGACCAGCCCCGGCCCTTGGTTCACCTGTCCCTTGAACCGGGCCCACACCCCAAACCCGTCACTGAACGTTGAAGCCCCAAACGCATACCTTAGAAGGGGCCAATAGCGACTATAAGGATTATATTAGAGCCCTATTATATTCTTATTATACCACGATTACAGGGTGGGGGCCCCTTCTAACCCATACCCCCAAACCCAGCACCCCTAAACCCTGCACCGCAAGCCAAACAATGCGAGCCCTACACCCTAAACCCTAGTCTCCTCCGAACCCCCCAAACCCCCTAAACCAAGATCTAACCCTGAACCCTGAACCACCTTAAACAAACCCTAAACCCGAAACCCTAAACCCTAAATACTTCCACCCTTACACCCAGATCTGCACCGTGAGCCCCCTGAACCACCTTAAAAATCAGAGCCTCGGAATTTGCCAGCCAGAACACCTCTTCTAAAACTAAATGAAGCGGGTCACCCATCCTTAGCCTACTGTCTCCGTAAGGAAGTGCATTCCCACTCGCGCCTTCCTGGAGGCCGACTTGCTAGAATTGCGTTTAGGGTTAGAGTTTCGTGGTGTGGGTTCACGAATTTGAGGGTACCCTAAACCCTTCTAAACCCTAAACCCTAAACTTGACGGCTTAGGCCGCGCCGCCTCCGGGGATGCAGAGCCCACGCAGAGCACTGCATCCACCCGACCAGAACGAAGCATTTCACAGGCGATGGAGGTGACCACGCCTCTGGGTTTTTGAAGGCTCCCTAAACCTAATAGACCCTAAACCCTAAACGGTAAAAACCTTAAACCCTAAACCCTCAACCCGAACCCTCTTGGAATGTTCAGGAATTAGGGTCTGGGTCCTGGCTCTGGCCTTTCTCCGTAACACTAAACCTATCAAGCTCACAGATGCTGTCTTTGGGATTTGCTTTAAGAGCCTCTGGTGTTGTGTCTAGCCCCAAACGCCTACATGTTGATCCCTGACTCTGAGTTCGTTGTACTCGCCCATAACATAGACAGAAGCTATTTGAGTTGCAGGGCAGCATCAAGGTCGGAGCGCAACGAGTCCTAAACCCTAAACCCTAAACCCTAAACCAAAACCCTAAACCAAAACCCTAGACCTTTCTAGCTGTCTACTTTGGATTCTCAAGCTTGTGGTCTTCCTAAACCTAATGTACCAGTAGGCACCTGATTAAGAGAACTTGGGCCTTTATTAGGGTTCCTTATACGAATCCTGCACCTACCGCGGAGTCCTGCTCCTTAAACCTCAACCCTGAGCCTACACCCCCAAACGGTTAAGGGTATAGGAACCCTAAAAACCTGAACCGGCGAGCCTCTCTCTGCTTACCTTTGGTTAGTAGGGAATGGAAGAATGGTAGAAATAGTTGTTATAATTGTACCCCATTCCTCCATTCCCTACTAACCAAAGGTAAGTAAAAGCCTAAGACCCGAAACCCTCAAACCCCAAGACCTAAACCCCTGAACCACGAAGCCCTACTAACCAAAGGTAAGTCTGTTACAACCCTACACCCTAAACCCTAACTCCTAAACCCTAAACCCTAAACCCTGAACCCTAAACCCTAAACCCTAAACCCTGAACCCTAAACCCTGAACCCTAAACCCTAAACCCTTCTTCGGTCAACCCAAAGCTCGAAGCTCTACAATCCACAGCCGCGCACAGAACCCCAAAGAGACACAGTTGATGATATCAATCCTGAATTACCGATAATCCCTAGGGTTCCTTTAAAGGGATCCATAAGGGTACCTTTACGGGGCTCCTTTAAGGGATCTATACGGTGTAGGGTTTAAGGGTGATGATATCAATCCTGCATTACCCACAATAAGGAATATACCATAATTCCCATAGTTTAGGGTCCTGAAGGTACTACAGGATTTATATCATCAACCGCACGGTACGTTATGGCATGATTTAACGCATGTTGACCCATTATCGTACATTGTAGTATATACCATTATTATAGTTGATTCTAGTATGCAAAGAGCCTGAAGGTGGTATACACCATCGGTCCCAACCTTCAGAGACCACACGCCTTGGACTACAACGCCCTTGTAGAACTCAGGAGACTGAAAAACAACAAACCAGGACCCCTCCGAGACTTCAACGCCTCTGATAATAAGGATCCTACTATTTCGGGTGCTATATTAGGGTCCCCGATTTTCGGAAACTCCCACATAGACCTTGAAACCCTAAATCCAAAGCCCTCTAAACCCAAAACCCTCACACCGATTCAAACCAAAATCGACAGACCTTTCAACAAGTGCAGAAGCCTGTCCTACGCTGACCCCTAACACCCAAACCGCAAAGCCCAAACCCTGACTTTACCCTAAATCACTATCATGTTGCTACTATAGCACATACATTTTTATGTATGTGTGTATACATATATATATATATATATATATATACATATGCACTATCTATAAGACAGTCATCATAAACATGGTCCTAGAAAGCAATAACAAAAATGGTGATCATGCGATTCTACGAAACTCAGAAAAACACAGTCGACAGGAGCCTGTCCAAGCTCGTCGCTCCGGACGGCTCTCCCGAGCCATGCGAATGGGCCGTAAGCCATTCTCCTGCAAAGCTCGAGTTTAGGTTTACGGGTTTAGGGTTAAGGGTTGGGGGCCGAGGTTTTAGTTGAAGGAAGCAGCTAGGATGGATTTTCGGGGGTAGGCGGCTGGAGCAGTGGAGGGATTAGGATTCTATAAGTCTGGGGTTGACATTCGCGCGGTGCAAGGCCTTCATGCTCAGGATTTATGAGTCTGGCTTTAGTACTCTTAGGAGTGTGGCTTTGGCAATCTTAGGAGTGCGGGTTTTGCGTTAGGGGTTTAAGCCGTGCGAAAAGTGCTGTGCACCTCGGTGACGCCAAAGTAGAGCTCGTTCTCCTTGCGGTTGTGGTGGGTTTTGGGGGGGGTTGGGGGTTTCTTTGGCTTTCAAGGAATACGTAGTCATTTTAGGTTCTAAGGTGGGAAGAAGGACTTTGTGAGGGTGTGTGGGCTTACAGCTCAGGAATCAGAGTTCCGAGTCCCAGGGGTTCGGGGCTGGACGTTTACGGTCCGAGGTGTACAAGCCTTGGGACGCAAGCTGTAGGGTTTCGGGTTGAGCATTTAGGGCTTTCGTAAGGTTGAGAGGTTGGCGTAAGGCCGTGGGGTTGAGGGTTTGGTTTTCCGCACGTTGGGGCCGGGGCGAACTGAGAAGTGTCGGAATTTGGACCGAGGGCTCGAGAGCTTTAAGAGTTTTTGGCCCCAAAAAAGCACATAAGCAAAAATTAGGATAGGGATATCCCATATAAACCCCCTTAAAAGGAAGCCCAACAAGGTAGGGATATCCCGGTAAATGCTTATGCTTATGTGCTTTTTGGGTCCCTGAGAGTTAGGCGTTTTTAAGGGCCGGCGTCCGGTCACGGGCGGAGACAATCCACTTTTTATGGCGTAGGCCGACGGGACACCATCACTGGTTTAGGGTTTTAGGGTTTTAGGGTTTAGGGTTTAGGGTTTTAGGGTTTTTGGGTTTAGGGTTTAGGGTTTAGGGTTAAGGGTACTAGAACGGCACAGTAGGTGTAGTTTCTGCTCCTACAGGCTATTACAAGGGCCACAAAGGCGGCTGTCAGGGCGACGAGAAGGGTTGAAAGGTGTAACTCCTGCAAGGACGACCAGACGGGCTAGTGTAAGGGCCACGATAAGATAGGAGTTTCTATCCTTAGCCCAACCTCCTTCTGGCAAAAGAAAGTCCATGAAACATTCAATACAGCCCCATTGACACCCCACAAAAAATCTTGTCATGACTGGTAGTGTATGTAAGATAGAAACCCACGATGTTCAAAGAGTTGTGACGAGCACTGAGCTAGCTCCCTAAACTGCCCAACCCAAACGCCCTAAGCCTGAGTTGAACCCCAAATCCCAAGAAAGAACTAAGCTCTGAACCCCAAATTTCTGATTCTGGGCCCTCATCAATAACCTATAGCGTAAACCTGCATTGAACCCCAAACCTTCTGAAAAAGTTGGAAAGGTCCTCATCAATACGCCTGCGGCGGCCGTGCACCTTTGCTTCTAGAGCGTCGATTCGCTCCATTCCTGTGACAGCAAGGGCTTCAGGTTAGAGCAGGGCAGGGCAACCATAATTAAAGCCTAAACCCTACAAGCCCTAAGCCCAAAACCCTAAACCCGAAGCCCTAAGCTTAATAAGCCATAAACTCTAAACCCGAAGCCCTAAACCCTAAACTTTAAAGACCCAAAAAGAAGCCCAACCCAAAACCCTAAACCCTAAACCTCTAAACCCTAAACCCTGAACCCAAAACCCTAAACCCTAAACCCGAGGCCTTCGCCCAAGAAGGCGCAGGCTTCCTGGACGCGGCCGACCAGGGACGTGTTGCAGAAACCGCAGCGACTGCAGAGCTCCTCGTGGGGGCCATGTAACCTAAGAATAAAACTTTTGGTATTGGGTAACTTTATAAGGAACCTAGGACTACCATCGTTTAAGGGCTCCTATAAAGATCCTAGAGACTCCAATACCCCTTAATTAAGGAATATTCCTTAAAATCATATTAGGGATCCTAGTATAATTTAAGGTATATTCCTTAATTAAGGGATATTGGAGTCTCTAGGATGCTTCAAGGGATCCTTTAAAGGGCTCTTCCAAAGGATCCTTTAAGGGATCCCTCAAGGGCTCTTCTAAGGGATCCTGTACGGGATTCCCTAAGGGCACTTAGAAGGGATCCTTTAAGGGATCCCCTAAGGGCACTTAGAAGGGATCCTTTAAGGGTTCCTTTACAGGACCCTAAAGCCCCACATGATCCTCATGGTGGCTGCTTCGCTGCTCAGACAGGCCGTCCCCCATCTTGAACCCTACACTCAAAGGGGAACAGGAGGGACCCTTAATAAGGACCCCTAGGTAGAAACCCTTAAGATAGCTATTATATAACCATTATATAGCCCATTATAGGGTAGGGGTCCCCATCAAGGGTCCCTCCTTTTCCCCTTTGATACACCTTAACCAACTCAATCCTAACTTTTTGCATGTTCTTATCGTAAACCCTAAGAATATATATAAATCTAGCTTTTTGTAGGTTCTTATCAGAAACCCCAATATGGAATTGAAAGGGACCCTACAGAAAGCAGATTCTGGTAGGGTCAAGTAAATTCCAAAGCAGAGCGCCTCGAGCAAGCAGGAAGATGGTTCCGGACCCAAATCAGGACTCGCCGCTAAGCTAAACTAGGATACCCAGTAACCTAAGAATAAAAAGGCCTCTCTTTTTGGTATTGGGTAACTTTATAAGGAACCTAGGACTACAAAAAGGGAATAAGGGTAATACTGGGCATCCTAGCTTAGTAAACCTGCCACGGTTCCAAAGGGTAAGGGTTCTTTGCGTGACAGTTAGTTCTCTGAACTTGGGTCCCTTGCAGGGTCCTATTGCTAAGGGTGCCGTTTAGGGTATGTAAAGAGGGACCCTAGTTTAGAGCTACCCATGTAATTCAGGATTTTGCAACAAGTCTTTACGAGTTCTTGAAAAAAACTCAATCTGGAAGGCCAACCGGTAAGCCCAAAAGCCGTGCCCAAAATCCTGGGGTTGAGGGTTTAGGGTTCCAGCAACCCAAACCGCCTGCGAATCCACCGTATCTGCCCGCCTGATTAAATCCTTGGCCCGAAGGCCTACGTTCCTGAGCCCCAGATCCCTACGCTGAACAAGGAACCCCAAAACCCTATTCTAATTACTGTTGATGATATAAATCCTGCATCACCTTAAGGACCCAAAACTACAGGAATTATGGTATATTCCTTATTATGGGTCATGCAGGATTTATACCATCAACCGTATTAAGGCTCCTACATTACCCTAAGCCACGGCTCCTTCGCGGGATACACCTTCTGCTCTGCTGGCATCGGCTTGCTGCGAGGCTTTTGCCGCAGGGCCAAACGGGCCGTCCGGCGCAGCTGCCGTCGCCAGGATCGTTTCCTCAAACGTTTTGGGGCATTCGGCTCTTAGCGCTGAGGGACTTTAAGTTCTAAATTTGTTCGGGGTGTTAGGGCTTCATGGTTTGGATACTTTAGGCTTTTGACTTTAGATTTTGGGGTTGAGGGCTAAAACCCTAAACCCTAAACCCAAAACCCTAAACCCTAAACCCTAAACCCTGCTAATCTTTGAAACCCCCCGAACTCCAAGCTCCCTCGAGCCGCGTGGCTCCACGCGCTAAAACCCTCCCAGCCCACCCAGCTAATAATCCTAAATATGCCTTAACCTGCAAAACCTATTTTTTTGAGGGCCCCTATAAATTCCATATTCGGGTTTATAGTAAGAACCTACGAAAAGGTAGGCTTTGAATTTCGGTAGGTTCAGGTAACTGTTAAACTTGAAACCCTGCTCCTACCTCTTCTTCAGTCGTCAGTTTTAAGAAGGAGACTCCAAAGCAAAAAAAGGAACTGTGAGGCCTGAACCTAGATTCCCCGAAACTCCCTAATTAAACCCTAAACCCTGACCCTAAACACCCTAAACCCCAAACCCTGAACTTCCCAAACCCTAAGCCCTCTTAAAAGCCATGGTTCGCAAGAAGCATGCCGCTCGCTAGCAGTCGGCCATCAGTCACCGACCCGCCTGCGTCGCGGGCAGCGGCTCTCATCTGCGCCTGCAAAAGCTGCTTAGGCTTTAGGGCTTTGGGGTTTAGGGTTTTAGGGTTTAGGGTTTAGGGTTTTGGGGTTTAGGGTTTAGGGTTTTGGGGTTTAGGGTTTAGGGGTTTAGGGTTTTATAGGGTTCAGGGTTTAGGGTTTTTGGGTTTTTGGGTTTAGGGTTTAAGCGGCCCCCTAATTAAGCAAGCTACCTTTGACTGCAGAGGGGGTCCGTGCTCAGAATCAAAAGTACATCCCGTACCCCAGAGGCTTCAGCAGCTCTGGATACTTAGGGGATCATAGGACTTAGTAAGTAGGTTATAATTGGGGTTATAAGTCTTTTAAGTGGGGTTATCCTAATTATATCCTACTTATAACCTTACTTACTAAGTCCCATGAGCCTTCAAGTATTTAGGGTTGCCTCCGAGAGCCTTAAGGGGCTTGCTTAGACTGTAGGGTTTAGGGCTTTGGGTTTAGGCTTTAGGGTTCAGGGTTATGGGTTGAAGGGGCTCGTGCTCGAAAGTGTGGAAGGATTCGATCATAGAAGAGTTTAGAGGCACTAAGCCGGTTCAGCTATTGGGACTCAAAAGTACTTCTTGTATGGCTGACTTGATGTACGTGCCGGCCGTATAATTGGAACAGGGCTTTGGGCTAGCATACTGTACTACAGTGAAAATACGGAACCCTAACGAAACAATAGTGGGAATTACCTCATTTTCAGGCGAAGCCACTATCAGTAGCAACTCTAAACCCCATAAATCCTGTGGCAGATAGTACTCCAAACCCTGAACACTGATCCGAAGAGTAAGGTGCAGAGGCCATGAAAGGCTAGAGTACTCGGGAATATTCAAGTTTCAGAAAACTAGGTTTAAGGGTTCAGAGGTTTAGGGTATAGGATTTAGGGTTAGGGGTGGAGGGTTGAGAGTTTAGGGTAGCAGTGTACGACAACAACTACATAGCCCACCTGTGGCACCACACCCGGTGGGGCAAGAGCAGCCAACGTAGGTGGCGGGGCCAGCATCATGGCATCCTAAAACCTCGAAGCCTTACACAACAAAAACCCTACACCCAAAAACCCAGAGTTCGCCTTGAGCCGTTAAACCCTAAACTCAAGACTCTCGTGAGCTTGGTTCTGATGGCTCAAGGTTTGGCTAGGGGTTGATGCCTTGTTGGGCGTGCTTGACTGCCAAAACGGCATGGTGCAGCTTGGAGTTTAGGGTTTGGGCTTAGGGGGACTACTCTGATTGAGGATTTGTACTCTTATTGAGGATTTGTCCTATCGCAAATTTTGTTCTTACCGCGGCTAGCCCCAAATCCCTAAGCCCTAAACAGTTATCTCGTACTCGGCAGGCGGCGTCGCATGTCCACTGCTAATGGGCCAAAATGCCCTTGCAAAGCTCGGGGTTTGGATTTAGGGTTTTGGGTTTAGGGTTTTGTAACCCCAAACAGACGTCTGACAAACCCGAAACCCTCAAGGAACCCTTGCAGAGCCGCTGAAGGAGCAGAAACCCTAGGTTGACCATCCAGAAGCCCGAACCAACTCGCTTAGGCATACCAGACAGGCTGTGAGCGTTGATTGCTTTGTGATGTAGGAACCTGATTAAGAAACCTTGGGCCTTTATTAGGTTTCCGTATATGAATCCTACTATGTTAAGGTTATAGGCCCAGGGATTCTTAATCAAGTTCCTACATTAGGGCAAGATAAGTGAACAGCACTTGGGCGGGGAAGCCCCTTCCCATCAGTCATGGAAAACCAAATTGAAATAACGACGTGGATTACGTAGGATTAGGTTTGACAACAGGACGGCTCCTGTAATGGTTCTAGAAGGCTTCTAGCAACAGTTGTTGTAAAGGAGTTTAGGGATCTAAAGATAATTAGAAGATTTGGGAGTATGGAACAGCTAAATACATCTATACGGACGATAAGAGGGTACCAGAACTTCTTTTGCAGAGCTAGGATCCATGCTATGGTTTTGCGTTTCACCAAGCATTTATTGATCTGAGCTCATGCAGTTAATTCGCGGTTTCAGAGTTGGTGGTTTAGGGGTTATGACTGTAAATTCCATAAACTCCCTTTAGAGTGGGTCTGTCGGGCTGGCCTAGGGCTGGGAGATACCGTCGGACTGCTCCATGTGTTAGAAAAAGTGATTCTACACGTCGCTCGCAACCCTAAATCGTGGCCTTACGAAATCTCCTGCCATCCACAGTAAAGAACTCTAGCCGACCTGAAACCCACAACTTCAGCCACAAACACATGACTGAACATGGCTCGAGGGTTTGGTAAGTAAGGTTTGGTGTCTAGGGTTTGGACAGATCCAGCACTATACCTGGGGCCGTGGCGAAGATGAACTTCAGTTAGGCGGTGTAGCGAGCGGCATCAAAGGGTCCACGATGCGTGCGTCGAGAGAGCACTAGAAACTGTCAACTGTCGCTCTTGAGACATCCCAGATCTCGTGTGACTACTCACTAGTCCCTGTTCTCTTGTCAGTACCATGCGTGCTATGTTGAACAACCCTTCAATTGTTTGCCTACCCCGCCAGATCTCCGGATGATCTCCTTTCCAACTGATGTTTAAGCCCCTCATGTGCTCCCCGAACAAACCCTGAGCCGTGGCAAGGCAACCAGGAGAAAAAACATGGCACAACAGCCTTCTGGGGCTTCGGGTACTATGCGTGTTTGGGGTGCCAGAAGGGTTCAGAGTTTCGGGGTTTAGGCTGTAGAGCTTCAGGCCGTAGTGATTCACTTTTGGCTCAGGGTGACAAGCCGGGATGATTGCCGGCTAATTCTTCAAGCTCTGGCACGGATCTTGATGCCAATATCTTGACACAAAACCAACCATTAAGTCCTGTCACAGGAAGACACATACCCCAAACCCTACCAACCCGAAACAACAGCACGCCTTTTCCAAATCCAAAACGCTTGCACCATCCCCAGGCGCAAGACGACACGCTAATCCCCAAGACTTCTGTCGTAAAGACCTCAAATATCCCTAAACCCTAAGCTCCAAACCTTAAGACTCAAGACACTCCGCAAATTTCCGAAACCCAAACCCCCAAGCTACAAAGCCAAAAGCATTACCGAAATCCGCAATGCTAACTCTAACAGCTTGAAACACCCGTCATCCTTAAAAACCCTGAAAACCTCAAAATCGTTTCTACCGCAAACTATATGCATATTAAACCCTAAACCCCAAACTAGAACCTAAACCCTAAACCCGAAGCCTGAACCCTAAACCGTCAACCCCAAACCCCAGACCCGAAGCCCAAATCGGAAACTCGTTGCAACCCTCCTGCTGCTTGCATCCACCAACCGAGAACCAGGGCCTCGGTGCCACGCAGAAAACGTAACCCCGAGACCGCCAAACTCCGAAAGAAAATCCGGCTCATGGGCTGGTAACGGTTGATGATATAAATCCTGCATTACCCATAATCCCTAGGGTTCCTTTAAAGGGATCCATAAGGGCACCTTTAAGGGGCTCCTTTAAGGGCTTGGGGTTTAGGATGATATAAATCCTGCATTACCCTTAATAAGGAGTATACCATAATTCCCATAGTTCAGGGTCCTTAAGGCATTGCAGGCTTTATATCATCAACAGAAGGTCGAGGGCTTGTAACCCTAAGAGTCCAACGGACTCAATTATTAGGTCCTTAGGTTTCGGATAGTAGTTCTGTAGGTTACCATTTGGGAGAGTATATGATTATTAGGTATGCAAGGTCGGAGGCCTCAAAAGGTGAGATGAAGGTAGGTAGGATTAAGGATCCCTTGTGTAAGGACTCTTATTTGGGAATATCCCACCTACCTTCATCCCACCTCTTGAGGCCTCCGATAAAGTCGAGGGCTTGGTGCTTTAAGCGTTTAGGTTGAAGGCTCAGTGCATTTAGGACGTTTTTGCCGTGAGGGCTTCAAGGGTTTAGGGCTGTGGGCTTTGGGGCTTGAGGCTTTGGGGTGTTAAGGATTTTATACGGCTCTATGCGGGTTCGACAGTGCAAGTTTGCAATGCTTCCGTACAGGGCCTTCATAATCCGACCAGGGCGTGCGAGGCTTACTGTACTATATTTAGTTATGTGAGGCAACCTTTCGAAATACGTTGCTAGATATTCAAGCTTCGAAACTTCTGGTTGTGGGCCTCAACCCCGAACCCTAGGCCCTAAAGCGATTTCGGGCAGGGTCGAGGGTTTGGAGGTTTGAACATGTAGGCATTGGGAAGTTTCGTTTCGTCAACACCTCGACGACACACACACACACACTCACGCTCTCAAGACACTCAGTCTTCTGTATCAGTTTCGGGCTTAGGGTTTCGGGTTTAGGGCTGTAGGACCACGGCCTTTATCAATTTTAGCGCTTCGGGTTTGCCAAGATCCGTTTTGCACTAGAATGAGGGGTTTGGGGGAGTGTTCGGTAATTGACTCATGAAAAGGATCAGCACACAACAACTTGAGAAATAGTCTTGAATGAACCGCAGAACCCCCGACACGAGCCCCTGACGCAAACAGTCTCGAAAAATGCTTGCAACAACACTAGCAAAACCCCAAGCAAGAATCCAACACCGCGAAAAATCCCGCCCGGGCTACAGTCGCATGAAGTCCCCATAAACCTGTGGAACCGAAGAACCCCAGGCCCCAAACCCTAAATCGAAGAACCAGAAGCAGCGTAAACACTAAACCTAACAAGCCTAAACTGCCCTAAACCCTCAACCCTGAACCCTCAACCCTAAAGCCCTAAACCCGACTAGACCCTAAACTACCCGAAACTCTACACTGCCCTAAACTAGCCAAGACACACCAAAAAGCCGGTAACCAAGAATCCTAAACCCCAAAGCCAAGCAGATAACTAAACCCCAAATCCTAAAACTCCGGAACCTAAGAACCCCAAACCGCAAACCGAGCCCTAAACTACCCGAAACCTTAAACCGCTACGTCCCCTAAACTACCCTAAACCCTGAGCCCTTGAACCCCAAACCCTAAACCCTAAACCCCAAACCCTAAACCCTGAACCCTAAACCCTAAACCCTGAACCCCAAACCCTAAACCCTTGAACCCTAAACCCCAAACCCTGAACCCCAAACCCTGAACCCTGAGCCGTTCACCACGGCCACGGCGCCCAGGGCGAGGCCGGACTTAAGGGGCCATTGCCTCCTCCCTGGGCGGAGGGCTCAGGCTTCAAACGGGTTTAGGATTTTGGGGAGTAGGGCTCATAGGGTTTTAGGGTTTATGGTTTAAGGTTTAGGGTTGAGGGGTTTCAGGGTTTAGGTTTAGGCTTTGGGGTTGAGGGGTTTACGGGTTTAGGGTTGTAGGGGTTTCGGGTTTCGGAAGGATACAAGGATTGTGGTTTGAGGGTTTAGGGGCTGGGGTTTAAACAGCAAACCGCAATCAAACCCGGCTTTCATCAGAGTGTCTCATCACGGTCACTCTTTTGCCACATGCCCATGCTGAACTTGCTTGCGAGAAACTCAAAAAGCTGCCTTTACTATGTTCCTGCTTTTCTACAGTTAGCCACTTTTGCAGCAGTTCCTGCGACCCACTCTTGAAGGCCTACTACATGGGGCCCGAATGCTTGGGATTAGGTCTCGGTGTCGAAGAGGGTAAACTCATAGGAACTAGAACTCGGACTCCTATACGATTCCACTTTCTGTGCCACCGGCGTCCCGTGCAGCAGCAGCAGCAGCAGAAGCACGTGGCTGAGAGAAACTGTTTAGGATTCAGGGGTCGAAGAGTTTAGGAGTTAGGGGTTTAGGGGTTTGGCATTCAGGTTTTAAGGGTTTTTGGATTAAGAATATTGGGGTGAGGGTGCAGGGTTGAGGGGTTTACGGTTTAAGATCTACAGTAGGCATTGTGTCCGGAAGCTGTCAATGCCCACGAGACTAGTCGTACACGTGTTCTGTGCCACGGGTAAACGCCAGCAAACCGCAAAGGAGCATCATCAGCATCAGTGCAAAATCTCTCTGGCCTCAACCTCCCATCGCGGAGCCAGTGAAAAGCAGGGGCAGCATCAACAGCATCAGCTGGAAAGCTTTTTAAACTCCCA